TCCCGCTAGTGGGACGGGATCCGCCTCCCGCTACTGGGGCGTACTGGGACGGGATCCGCCTCCCTCTGGGACACACACTGGGAAGGTTTCCCAGTCTCCTACTGGGAGGCTCCCAGCTGGCTCCACTGGCTGCAGGATACAGTGAGGTCGTATCTCAGAGACAGCAGCTCTCCTCCCTGGTCCTTCAGGTCGTAGATGAGCTTGGAGTCTTCTCCATATTTCCCAGTCAGCGTCTCCTGCAGGAGGAGCAGAGGAGGTCAGTAAACAATGACCTCCTGGCAGCAAGGAGGTCCAGGCAGAACAAACCCACCTTCAGCTCAAACACTGGCGTGTCGATGGTCTCAGCTCCGTGGCGTTTGAAGCAGCGGGTGATGGTGCTGAAGACCTTCTCTCTGATGGCCATCTGCTTGGGGTTGTAGTCCCTCGTTCCCTGCATCACAATCAATCATCTGCTCAGATGGAGGAGGCTGAGGGTGACGCCATCAGCAGGTCAACAAAACCTTTCAGGAGATCTGAGGAGGTGGCTCCAATCAGAGCTGAACGCAGGAGGCGGAGCTAAGAGCAGAGTTCCTGTCGCTCTACAGGTTTCCTCTGCTCTGAGTTTACCAAACATTTCAGCCGCTGACTCCAGAAATAACCACGCAACAGACAGAAATACACACAATCACTCCACGGTGTTAGACATAAAGGAGAGGAGTTTAAAAGTCTGACAGGTCGATTTTTATACGAATAAAAAACGCCTTAAATATTGGAATGTTATCTGGAAACATTTCCTCACTGAAACAATAAAAAGTCCTCAGATAACACGGAGCGAATTTTGATCCATTATTGTTGCAGCAAGGGAAACGTTTATAACTGCAGATAAAAAGAGAGAGAAATTATCTTTCATCTTAAACAAAAAAGGTTTTTAAAAGTAACTTTGCTGTTTTCTATTGAAGCGTATTACATTCACCAGCTTACCTCATAATTAGGAGATCGTATCTATACATTTGCTCGTGGTTATTTGAGCCAATAATGGAGCATCTCTCAGAAAACTGATCTTTATGATTACTTCTTTAAAATATCAAAACGCGTTGGAGCTCCGCTCCTGTTTTCCACTTCATCATAAAGTACGCAGCTATAACTCTGGGATTACTGCAAGTGCAGGTAGCATGCAGCCATTTGACTATACGCCAAAATCCACCAACAGCTCCATAAAAACAGATTCTGTTTGGTTTTAGTTTTTCAAATGAATGGACATGCTGCATGAAGATGGGACCTGGTCGTTTGAAACCATGAGCTGTTCTCCCTGAGGAGAATGTACTGAACAGTTCTTTGCGACGCTACCAAGCCAGCGGGAATGCATTCATTTATAACCATAAAGCATCCGGTGGTGGTTTAATCGCTCCTGCAGGAAGACTGAGACTTCGAGCAGGTCAGAGTAGAGTGGACTTTTTCACCTAAACCATCCTAAGGACCCCAAAAATGCAGGTAAAAGGATGGGTGGTGGTCTACTGCTGGCTTTGGACTCACATTTAATGCATTTATTCCATAAAAGTTTATTGGATCTAGAGTGAAAACATTAACTT